CCCGATCATCCAGATTGCACTTCCTCAGTAATCCTCACTGGGAAGATGGAGTGATGGGGAAGTATAGGTACAGCAATAAACTGGAATAGAAAACAAGGGGGAGAAGGGATTAGGGTGTAGACTGAGAAGCTATAGGGAAGGGTAAGGCTAGGCTAAGGGGAATGGGGATGTGGCAAAGGACCTGCTAGCTCTTCTGTTGGGAGTTTGCAAGGGTTGGGAGCAAGCCAGGAAAATGAGTCTCCTATGCTTCTCCCTGGTCTTCCCAGCATCAGGGGAAGCCTTGTCTCTTTGCACAGCCAAGTGGCAGTGTGCCTGTCGTCATGCATGTGACTGTGACTATGGTTAGACATCCTTCCTGCAAGTCCCTGCCCTCCAAGTATTGGTACAGATGAGAAAAGTGATGGGGATTCCTGTCAGGAACAGGGCAGTTCACATTGTCTTCAGCCATCGGAAGCATCTCTATTGCCACGAGGTATTTTTTTTTTTTTCATTTAGCAGAAGATGTCCTGTTGAAAGGGATGTCATCCTCAAATAGATTTCCTGCATTCTTAAAGCCATTTCCATGCTGCGGGTGGATGACTTACTGTACTGCTCAAAGCCTCAGTATGGTCAGTTATTTTAATCTGCTAATAAAAGTATTTATGTAAATGTGAAATGATACTTTTCTCCCGAAGGCCCACTGGCATTGACAAGCTAGGACTTCTGTGTTTCAATAATACTATTAATGCTAAGGATGAAAAAATCATGGATCAAACCAGGTAAAATTACAGCTGGCTTTAAAATTCAAGTTCTAGAACAGTGTACATATCATGCTCTGTTTGATGTAATATCCTCGGTCACTGAGGTCTGTCCTTTGTCATCACAGTCATCTGTGTTTCATAATCTGGTGATGTCTGTAGTAAAACTAGTCAAGCTCCCTTTCCAAAGTAGTTGGTTTCTTCTGTTCCTTATAGCCTCTTCTAGCAATGTGCTGCTTTGTTTGTGACCTGAAGTAGTGCAATGCTGGAATTGTTAGTGATTGTGATTACTGTCTGGGTATTCATATTTCTAGTCTCGTGCCACGCTCTACATCTTTGATGTCCCAGCACTGTTGTGTGTAAGTCACTAAGGTGTCTGATCTTGCTGGAGGAGGGGCTGGGGTCCTCTTCTTGCCATGCAAATTGGTGGTGCTCCTCCTGTTCCCTGGAGAAGCGTCAGAATAGGAAGCAAAGCTGCTGTTTGTGCACGGTGAGGGGGCCAGGTGGGCGAGGGTGCACAGGGGATGCTTAGGGGAGAGGTCCCACAGGGAGGGGAGAGCTGCCGGGGAAGAAAGGGGAGAGGGGAGGGATCTCTGCTCCCATGCTCAGCCTCCCCAGGACCTTGCTGATGCCACGTCCAAACACCATAGCAGGGCTGGAGGTGCCTTCACCAAGATCTCACAGATTTCAGGCATCAGACACAGGAATGCTCTTCTCTGGCCATGGCCCTGGCGTTAACCATGTTGCTCTGTTTACTCTAGATACACTTTATACTGCTGTTCAGTCGGCAGGGGAAATTAAGGCTTCAGAAATGGTATACGACGCTACCTGATAAAGAGAAGAAAAAGATCATTCGAGAAATTGTTCAGATTATTTTGTCTCGCAATCAAAAAACAAGTAGTTTTGTTGACTGGAAAGACCTCAAGCTTGTTTACAAAAGGTGTGAGTAATTTTGTGCGAACATGTAATTACTGTTCATATAAGTAACATGTACTAGAAGAGGAAAAATAAAGGCTTGCTTTAAGAAAAACACCGAAGAAACCCTAAATGCTAGAGTAAGCTGTAGGAGCCTGCCATCAGCAATCTGACAGTGTCTAACAGCACAGTGCCCCTGGATAAATCAGCAGGGTAAATGATGGGGTGAAAAATACTTCTATGATCTGTCAAATGAGAAAAATGGGAGTAACCTAATAGGTATTAGTGGTTGCAATTCTGTTAGAAGGCTTTAGGCTTCACTGCTCCTTCTAATTCCCTGAGGTAGCCTGCTGAGACGTGCTGGGCTTTATCAGACCCTTCAGCAGGTTGCAGGAACCAATCTGAGGCACTTTCAACATTTTGTCAAAATTTTGTCTTTGAAATATTTGTTTCTCTGGAAAGTGTTAATTCCCATTTCCTTTTCCAAACAAATCACTGATCCTCAGTTACGTGATGCTTAGCATTAACTGCCTGTTAATTTTTGTAAAGTTGTAGCAAACAGAAGTAGCCTTAAGGTATATCACGCTGTACAAATGAAGTGGAGTCTCCCATTTGGCAAAAATTGAGCTCCTTGCTCTGAAGTGATGGATGTAAACGTCTGACCAGATGCTGTGACAAGTTGGGGCTCCAGCCACAGCACCAGAGTTGAGGTAGATCGTTACTCCCATCCTGGCTTGATTTAAACATAAAATTTTGCTGCGAGTAAGTTAGGAAGATTGTTTGGTCTAAGCAGTTTCATGCTTTCTGGCACTATGTAAAACATCGTAAATCATTTGATAGCCAGCAGGCTAGCTGAGATGTAACTCCTGCCACCTTTATTTTTGCTTTTATTTTAATTTTTTAATAAAAAGCATAACTCATTCTACAATTTTATTAACCCCACTTACTGTAGCACTATTGCAGCAGGTGAGGGAGACCCTTAAAGTACTACTGATTTACTATTCATTTTTTTTAAGACCAATGTTGGAGGTATCCTGCTTTGCCAAGGGTGCAGTTTGTTTTTCTAACTAACTAAATTAATAATTTGTTTAAATTATCTGATCTTTTTAAGTGTTCTCTGGGACACTATGGGAATGAAACAAAACTGTTATTTTAGAGACAAGATAGACATTAACCGTCTTTTGTATAACTTCTAAGAGGTGAGCAGAGCACTGCAGATCCAGCTGTTCACTCTCACGTTTTTGCCTTTGTTTCCCCAGGTATGCTAGTTTGTATTTCTGTTGTGCAATAGAAGACCAGGATAATGAGCTCCTGACACTAGAGGTTGTTCATCGATACGTAGAGCTTCTGGACAGATACTTTGGAAACGTAGGTTTCACTTTCTCCCATGAACCACATTCCTGGCTGTCTGATAAACAGTTACCTGTAGCTGTTTTGCTTCATGTTTCCATCTGCACTACTTGCTCCCTAGACTCTCTCAATCCAGAGTGAAATTAATTATTAGGATATTTTACAAAATAGTGCTGAACTATCATAAGGATGGTTTTCCATCCTTTCTCCCAAAACAAAGTTAATCTTGATGCTTTCTGTGTCTTTCTCAGAATAGAATTTGAGGGGGAAGCTTGAAGAAAATTACTTTAAAAAACCCCAGGGTGACAGTACTTTAATTCTCTCTCCTAACATCTTCAGATAATGCTGGTTTTGTTTGTTTCATATTGTGTGATAATTAAGGACATATAAAGAGGAAAAAGATAAACTGAGTTTTTTTGAAGAAAAGACCTGAAGAAGATGCAAATAAGTCTTTCAGTAAGTCTTTAAAGACTACAGGAGACCCATCTTTTCTATGAATATTTTTGAATTTGTTCCCACTACCTTAATTCCTGTCTTTTTTAATTCACTGTGCCATGGCTCATGCTTGTGCTGTCTCCAAACAAAAAAAAGCAGTTGGTGACAGTAAGGTCACTAGGACAGAGAATTTGTCTTGCTCTGTGAAACTGTGCATGAACGTATGTAACACATATTGCAAGTGCTATACAAGACCTACTGTAAGGTAAGGCTAGGAAGTCAGCTTTGTTCTCTGAAAACCAGTATAGAAGTACTGTATTGTAAAAAATATAGTAAGTGGAATATCTTTGCTGTAAGTCTAGACTATATATGTGGAGAGAATATGTGCAGAAGCTGCAGTATCTTTCTTCACCCTGCTACCTGCCACAAGAGTGCATATGTTGAATACATTTGATCATCTTAACTTTTGGCCCATTAGTGCTTATAATGTTGTAAAAGTGATTTAAATGTGGGGTGTCCTTTTGTTCTGGCAGGTGTGTGAGCTGGATATTATCTTTAATTTTGAAAAAGCTTATTTTATTCTTGATGAGTTTATAATTGGCGGAGAAGTACAAGAAACTTCAAAGAGGTCTGCAGTGAAAGCCATAGAAGACTCTGACATGTTGCAGGAGGTAAGGCAGAGGAAGACAGAAGGCAAACACGTCATCTTCCTACATCTTCCTTGTATGACAGGAGCTTAAAATAACAGTTAAACACTTCTGGTACTTAAATATCCAAATGTGTCTGAAGTTCACCTTCGATAGGTACAACAATGCAGTTAAGGTAGCTTTTAATTCAACCCTCTTGCATCTTGCGAAATCATCTAGAGGCTCTTTATATACTGCTATTGCTCTCTTGCAGTTTTTGCTGTTAGAGTTTGTTGGATATTATGTTAAGAAACAGTTTAAGACATATCTAAGGTATTTATATAAGAACATAATGTAAGATTGTATTTTATGTGTACATATGTATATAAATACAGAAAAATCTGTTCTGTTTCACTAATACGTTCGAAACAGATGACCTACTATTAACATTTAAAATTGGAAGGAGTATGTGTTGGCAAACTCCATCATCATTCATGAACAACTGTGTAGTTTTTCTGCAGGGCACAGATATGTAACCTTTATTTAGAGCCCTGCAGGAATTCTTTTCTGTAACTTGTACCGTTGAGCCAGGAATGGCAAAAGCAGTTGAATTTATTTCATTTTTTCCTAGGTAGTGAAGGATCCGTTCTAATACTGAAGGAAACAGCACACTGGTAGAACTAGGTAGGGGCATGCCATGTGAGTTAAACAGTTTTTCAGAGTGGTCTGGTATTTGCTCATGAAACTAGGCCAGCTATGTACAAAGGCCAGCTATATGGGATGAGTTTGGCCACGAACATAGTGTGTCATGATCTGAAGATCAGATTCTACAAGGCTGTTAAAGGTTTTTAAAGCAGAATTATTTCTACATTTTAATTAATCTGACCTAATTCCATGCAAAACTACAACTGTCTTTGAAGAGGACAAGGGGGTTTGTTTGAATATTACTGTATGGCTCCATAATGTGTCAATTGTTTCTTTCTTTTTTTTACCTCCAGACAGTGGAAGAGTACATGAACAAGCCTGCATTTTAATGTTAAAACTACCTGGAGGGGAACTGCTGTATGCATCTGCAAAATGCACTTCCTGAAATTGCTTCCCAAAGTGCCAGATCCTCAGAGAAATACCAAAAACCAATAAGTAAATGGGTTTGTTTGTATAATGGTGAAGATGAAGGTCAGCTAATGTAGCACAGGGCTTAACAATTCTGTACTTGCATTGCTCCGCATGTGAGTTTCTCAGAGGTAGTACCCTTGATCTAGTTTCTCTGCTCCTTGCTGGAATAAACACCTGTTTTATACTGTGTCTTTTAGCTGCGGGTTTTGTCATCATAAAATGTTACTCTGATAGAGGTATTTTTACTAGTTTTGGTCCATTGCTGACCATATGACTCTACTTTTGTACAAATGTCCATTATTTTGAATGTAATGATTATTCTGCTCTAATAATAACAACTTTTTTTTCTAAAAGCCAAATTGTTGTGGACCCTGATTTCACAAGCTTGTTTTGAAAAGATTAACCCGTCTAGTATAAGAAGAAATATGCTTATCTTTGGACCAGCCCCTTTCTTTCACTGTCTTCCTTCTGTTTTCTCCTCCAGACTGCTATTAGAGCACACTGCACACTTCCATTTAACCTGGAAGACTGTTCTGACTCGAGGTAGGCTTCTCCCGGGTTTAATGAATCCTCTTTGCTGCTGCAAATGGCCTGTCTCTGTCTTTCTCCTCATTTTCTATCCCCTTCCTAGATCCCCTGGGCCTGGACAAAGGCTACAACCTTTGGAAGTGTGCAACTTGAGAGCAGCTTGAAGAGCAGAAATCAGTCTTAGGGGTTTTAGGGTGAAGATCATCTTGTGTATCTTTCAGTATCTACCAATAACCACCTTTTCCTAGTTCCCCCGTTCACACACCTATTGGGATGATCACCTTTCTGTCAGTTGAACATGGCCCATTTTTGTGAAGGCTGGACAATTTAATCACCTTTTATAACTCTGAAAGCTGCACAAAGGGAAAAAGGTTAAAATAGTAGGGGGAAGAAGAACCAGCTGGGCTGTGCGTCTAGTGCGTGTTATAAAGCATTGTAGCTGTGTGTGGGGAGCCAGGTGTGTTCACTTGCCTGTCTTTCTGTCAGTGCAATTTGAACTCTATAAACTGATTGAAATGGCTCCCTTAGAGAGATTATTTCCTCCTTTAACAGAATTCAAAGCTCAGAGAAATTCTATTTATCGTAGCCCATAACTCATACCTAGGTTCTTTGTCAAATCATGAAGTGATCCTATACAAAAATAAGTTATCATGCAAATATGTCCATATGATCCATATATTTTCTTTGATTTCTGGAGTGTAAAGTCAGTATTTTCCTTCAGGGATTTTTTTAATCTTTAAATGTCCTGTGTGCTTATTCTAATTTTTTCATTGCTCCTTCCTTACCAGTCTGTTTATATCTTCCTGGGAAGGAGTTTTGGGGGTTTTTTGGGAGGGTGGGAGCACTTTGACAAAACATGACAACTTTGCTAATTGTCATCCTGCTTTTCTGCCTGTGTTAGCTAGGTCTGTTAGTAAAACTGTGACAAGCTGGATCATAGCGTCATGCTGCTCTTTTTATAATTACTTTTTCCATCTGTTTTCTCTGTATTGATGTCAAAGGCATACTTACAGCATTGAAAAAATAGTGAAATTGCTGAAGGGCTTTTAATAGCTCTGAAGACATTTAATTTAATAGTAGATTAATGAAATTGTATGAGTTGTATATTATTTTCTCATGGTTTGAAGTTAAATTTTTTAGAGTGTTTAATTGATTAGGAAGCCACTTCAGAATGTGCAAAGAGGCTCTTTCCGCTCTTTACTTTTATAAGTGACTTCTGTTCAGTGAAATCATCAGTAGTTTCATTTGCTTTTACTCTTTTTTAGAGCCATGCTGTGATTCCCTGACTCTTTTAACTGTCATGTTGCTTGAATTCTGGAGTATATAAAAATAGGAGTTCCAAAAAGATTTCTTTGTATGAATAAGGATATCATAAGCTTGTCTTTTCAGTCATTCTAAGAAGAGCTATAGGACTTCTTTCTCTCTCATTTCAAATTAAGAATTCCTTATAGTAAAAAGTAATACATTAGCTAGGGGTACTTATGCTGGCCATACCAATATAGCATCTAAAATAAATAGCATTGCTTAACTGCTGTATCCAGTGTGAACTTGAGAAGTGTGAAGGAATTAGTATGGTTTCCTTGCCCTAGTGCAAAAGGTCACTGGAATATGGTGTGCCTGTTGTGCCAACTGCATTTGTGTTACAAAGTCGGGTGGAAAGTATGTGTTAAGCACTCTAAAGAACTGCTAAATTATGTTCATGCTCTAAGAAACATCTACAGATTCCTGTTGCTTTTGCTATAGATGGGCTGCACACTGTAAGGAGGTGAGTGTTATTTAGTGTGACTTCTGCAAGTGTCAGTAAGTATGGCATAAGGTAGTAATTGGTTAAGTATAGCCTACTTTAGAACAGATTGGTTTGAAGCATAAAACTTGCATTTATACTTTTTACAACCTGCAATGAGAAAGGGGTCACTCACCTAAGTGGTGTTATAGTGGCATTCAGCTCAACCCAAATCTTTCTCCAAAGGGAAAACGCCTAAATGAAACCCAGGTATTGACAGGTTACCTTCAGGTCACAGTGTCAAAGTGCCTGTGCAAATCTTTGTGGAACTCCATTGCCATCAACAGGACTCTGCATAGATTAGTGCACTGTGGAGTACAGCTCATCAGCAGAATTGTGTTTCTCTTGATATCTTGGTTCTTTGATTTTCTTAAAGCAGGAGATACACATATCTTTGTACATATTCACAAATCTCTCTGAAGCATTGCCCATTTCATTTGTGTTTGCTGTTGGTGTTTCTCTTTCCAACCTGCCTGACTATTCTAAGACATATTCAGTGTAAAGTTTTCTGATATTTACTTTATGAAATCATTATCAAAATAAGTATTAGAAATCAGGTTCCTTGACAACTTTCCCAGTCTCACTAACACCTTCTGTGGTTATTCAGACTCTCACCTTGCTGACAAGCTTCAAGCACATATGTCCTAGTTTGCAAAATGGCGTTTACTAAAATAACCATTAATCATGGTCATGTTGCTAGCCTAGATTGCCTTCCTTGCTTTCTCCAGCTGCATCTAACAAAAAGCTTCTTGATTTTCTTGTTAGCCTCTCTGCCTGGATTCTTACTGTGATCCTTCCTACTTACCTGTTGTGACAGGGCTGGTTCTCTGTTGTGCAACTATTTGCAACTCATGAGTTGTGGCATCTTTGAACATACCATGGCAATTAAAAAGAGAGGGATAGACACTAGACTGGGATAAAAATAAGTGTAATAGTGTCAAAAGGAATATTAAAAGTATGACAAATCATGAGTGAGAGGCAGGAGTGGCAGGGTCTCACAGGATTCATGAATTCTTATCATTTCTGTTTCTTCATTATGCATTTCTGAGTGTTGTGGCTCATTAAAAGTTGTCAACTCTTACAAATAACTGTGGGAAAATTGGCATTTAGGTTGCCTCCTATCAGCCTTTGTTTAACAAAAGCCACTGAAAGTGAATCTTCAGCACCTACCCCAGCTGCTCCTACAAAGCTCCCCCCCTGCTTTCAGAAACCCAGGTGGGACACTTACTGTAAAGTTCAGGTATGGCTCTGTGTCTGAATTTGTGTTGGACAGAGTAATGCTCTACTTGTGAAAGGATGAATTACTATTTTTTCATTTATTTTACAGTCTTCCAATAGATAACACATTTTCTATCTTCTTATCACTGTGCTGCAGTAATACAGCATGCAGCAACGGTACGTTGGGGGTCAGGAGGGACTGGCTTATCAGGAAAGATTAGAAGAGTTTAGTGAGAGTGAGGCTTTCACAGGCACCCAGAGATGTTCAGCCAACAGTCCCCTCAAAATAAAACGTCTCAGTGCAGTTCATAGAGAAAACTCCTATCCGTGTCTGTTCATGACGTTCTACTCCCCTGAAAATGCATTAGGAAATACTTCTGTTCACACAGCTCTGGTGTGAGGGAGGCGTTGCTCACACCCTGCCTGAAATGACTAAATCCAAAGGTCTCGGTTCTGCAGTTAATCCCTATGGTTTAACTACATCTGATGCTTTTATGAGCACGGAGTCTGCATCATCACATCATTATATTTTTGTTTTAGACAGCTGCCAGGAACTTGTGAGCTCAGACCAGGTAAAAGCATTCTTCTGGGGAATTTGGCTACATTCTTGCTGAAATCAATAGTGTGTGTGTTCTTTAGCAAGATCATAGTGCAAATAAAATACAGATGGTGATATAAATGTCTCAGGGTTTTTCAGGGAATTTTTTTCATGAAGATAGCTGGTCTAGGTTGAAGTGTAGTAGTGAAAGCATAGTGTTTATAGCAGAAATAACGGGCTGTGCTGCAAGAGACTTAATGTTTGCTGTCATGGAAACCGGTTGCCTTGGAACATGACTAATGAGACCCAGGCTAAGTGAAAGGAAGAAGCTATTCTTGAAATTATTGTTAGCAAACCCTAAGGAAGACCAGCAATATACCTTCTTGTAAGTTGTAGTTGTTTCAAGTATGGAACTTATGTATGGAACAAGTATGCTTAGTCCAGTTAACCTTATCTTTTTATTTACTTATTTAACAGCTCCTGTAACCAGGTGTTTAATACAAAGAATGCTATAAAATAGTTCAAAGCTACTATCTTGGCCATCTAGAATTAAATACCATCTTATTTGCATTCCTCTTTCCCAGTGCACTACAATATTTGTCCAATTTTTGTGGAAAGGACACACTGACAACAAATTGTGGCTGGTCTGGAATGACCCAGTAAGCCAGGGGGTCGTTAACAGTTTAGCTGAGGATTTTTGCCTCTGGCTGTAGTTCTGCATTTTTGAGACACTCCAGGTACATGGGGTAGGGAACATTTCTGTGTACGTCTGGTTACCCCTGTGTGTCCATGTGGTAAGATTGCTCATTGCTCTCTAATGCTGAAAGGAGACTTGGGGGGGGGGGAACGTGTGGAAGGTATCTTAAAGTTTACTTTATCCTTCTGTCATCTCCTTTTAAAATTCCCCTTGAGAATTCTCCTCTCTCTCTTCTGGAGCTTCTTGCTCCAGGCGCAGATGGATCATTACACACAGATTCTGCAATGGAGAGCAGAGCACTCATATTTTTTTCCTGCAAAGGTGAATTCTGTGTTTCTGTTGTAAAAAACAATGCCAAATGTAGAATCCCTAGTTACACAGGGTGACAAATTCATTACAGCTCGCTATGGATTTCAGCTGCTCTCTGGACCGGGATCTTGCATGAGTAAATTGCCAACAGCTGTGTAAGTCTTCCTGCCTTGTGCAGATCACAGTTCGGGGTCCTTCTGGAAGCAAACAGTGAGGAGTCTGCCTCAGCTGAGCGGAGCTGGCAATGACAAATCACAGAGGAACATCTTTACAGAAGTTTCATGT